CCGGGAGCGGCCCTGTGGGCTGGAGGCGCCGCTTGGTGCCGGGGTCTTGCAGGGCCGGCGCGTCGGCCCGTGCGGCGAGGGAGCCGGGCCGCGCGGCCTCTGCTCTGCCCCGCTCTGCGTCGCGCCTCCTGAACTTGCCTGGCGCGGCGGTGTGCGCAGCCCTGAGCCCGGCCGCCCTCCGCTCGCTCCCCTCGTGTCAGTGGCCGGAGAGACAGCAGTTTATTCGGGCATAACCATCGTCTCCCTCCCCCATCGGCGTCCGATGTGTAGTTCCTTTGCTGGAACTACCTACCTGGAAACAGGCAGGCAGGCTAAGCGCCAAATGCTGCATGGAAACCTCTTGGTTGGGAGAACTTCAGGATGAGTGCTGTCTGCCGCACTTGCGTTCTTCTGCCTTTTGCATGTCAGAGAATGATAATTGTCTATGAAGTCCTGTGGTGGAAATGCGAATCTTGTGCACCGAGGCCTCCACCCCCAGGTGTAAATGGAACAGATAGACCACAGCACCTGTGTAGAACAGTTTCCAGGACCTGGGCCTTGGCTTGTACTCTTTTTTAAATCTGATGTTCCTTGATTTATTTTGATCTATCTATACTGGCAATTTCCAGAAGTCCTTTGATGTTATTTATCCTCTAGAGGTAAAATAACAAATGCTTCTTCAGGTGTGAGGAACAGAGCCTTTTTTGTTTTGTTTTTGCAACAATGAGCAACATGGCTTATGTCAGTTGGAGTGTGATGTTCACCTCTGAATGAAATGGCTACAATATCATTATGTTGAATATCTTTGTTGTGAAAATCAAATTAATTCCATGACCTCCGTTGCTCTAGTGCTGGGTGAGAAATTTACAACAAACATGGCCTAGCATGAAATGATCTACTTGGTTACAGGTGTTAAGAAAAGCCTCAGAATAGCAACTGAATGTTCATGCTTGTTTTAATCCAGTAGTTGTAAAAACATTGCTTAGTCCCATGATCAGATAGGTATAGCTGAAACATGCAGTTATTCAGACATTAAAAATTAATTAGTTTGTTATGTTGTTTCCTACTTTATTCTGTTAGGATGTTCAAGGCATTGAGGAAATCTTCTCTTTTTAAGGCCAGTTGAGAGCAAAGGAAATGGAAATGTGTCTGAAAGACTTATTCATCTGTGGAGGTGATCTTTGCATGAGGGGCTTATTTTCAGAATGGTTTCCTTGGTATATTTTCATGTGCAATTAAGATTTTGTTTGAAGAAGTGATTTATTAGACAGCTGTAGCTTTATAGCACTCAGGTCTTTGAGATTACTAGTGTTTTTTGAAGATTTAAATTGTATTGTCTTGATACAAAGTAGGTATCTACATTTTTACATCTCTATCCTTTTCCTTCCTTCCCTATAAACAACTACTAATCTTTTCTTATATTACGTGAAATGAAAGGTATTTACTTATGTTTCATTTAAATATTATTTGCTGCAGACCTGAGAGAATTTCAAGTCATCACCTGAAATTGAGTTACCTTGATGTACGTCTTGACATACATCTTCTCTATGCCATGTTTTCTCAAATTTCGTTTTTGGAAAATGTAAAAAAAACCGATACATTTAAACATCAAGGTAACTTGAGGTGATGATTTGTATTTTTCTCAGGTCTGCAGCAAATAGTATTTAAATGAACCATCAATAAATACCTTTCATTCCATGTAATATAAGAAAAGATTAGTAGTTCTTATAAGAATATACTCATTTGTTACAAAAGTTTAATTTAGATACCATGTAAAATATCTAGAATTGACAGCATATTAGGATTTTAATTTTATTAAAGGCCCTGGTATAATTATTCTGGTGCCACAAATATTCGTACCACTCAAATTGCTTATTGATTAATGTGATAAGATGATGCAGAGCATTTCAAAAACTGCTGGACTGTAGAGGCAGTTCATTTTGTAAGTACAACTGATTGTATTGAAGGCTGTCTACACTTGATTAAGTTATATTCCTGGCTAAAGTGCCAAATGGAAATACATTCAGAATCGTCCCATGTGCCCCGAAAGAAATTCCAAACCATTCTGGAGACATGAATTTACCTGGTGTTTTATTTTTGCATGACTAAACACTATATTTTTTTCTAATTTAAACTTCATAATCAAATATGCACACTGAAAAAGTGAATTGAGTGTCCCATTTACATAATTATCTACAACCATGTTTGAGGATTGTTTATGGTGGTTTTAAAATTTGGATAACTCAATAATAAGAAATTCAGGAGTATTTGAATACTGTACCAAGAGGAAGACTAGGAACATAATCCTGTGAAGCAGAAATAGCCATTCCAGACTCTTAGAATATCTCTTAGAATATGCAGTATCTCTTAACTTTGTTCTCATTTATTTCACCAGGATAAACACGTTCATGTTGGAAATACAAACAGTGGGGATTTGAGACTTAGGCTGTTCTGTCCTTGTTCCTGTGCATGTAAACAAACATGAATGTCCAGGGGAAAAGTTTCCCTTTGGATCTTGGGGGAAGCTTTACTGAAGATGCTCCAAGGCCACCAGTCCCTGGTGAGGAAGGTGAACTAGTTGCCACAGATCCAAGGCCAATTAACCATGGTTTCTATTCTGGTAAAAGTGATGCAATTAAAAATGAGACTTCCACAGCCACACCAAGGCGCTCTGATCTGGATTTGGGGTATGAGCCTGAGGGGAGTGCTTCTCCAACTCCTCCCTACTTGAAATGGGCTGAGTCATTGCACTCCTTGTTGGATGATCAGGATGGGATAAATCTGTTCAGGACTTTTCTGAAGCAGGAGGATTGTGCAGATTTGCTGGACTTCTGGTTTGCCTGCAGTGGCTTCAGGAAGCTGGAGCCTTGCATCTCCAATGAAGAAAAGAGGCTTAAATTGGCTAAAGCTATTTATAAAAAATACATTCTTGACAATAATGGGATAGTGTCTCGACAAATCAAACCAGCCACAAAGAGCTTCATAAAAGATTGTGTCATGAAACTACAGATTGATCCTGACATGTTTGACCAGGCCCAAACTGAGATTCAGGGCATGATAGAAGATAATACTTACCCTTTGTTCCTTAAATCAGATATTTATTTGGAATATACAAGGACAGGTGGGGAAAGTCCGAAGATTTATAGTGATCAGAGCTCAGGGTCTGGGACTGGTAAAGGACTACCTGGATATTTGCCTACTCTTAATGAGGATGAGGAGTGGAAATGTGACCAAGACACAGAAGAAGAAACCAGCAGGGATTCGGCCCCTTCCAGCAGGCTTACTCAGAAGCTGCTTCTGGAGACAGCAACCCATCGTGCCACATCAACCAGGCGCTACAGCGAGGGAAGGGAGTTCAGGTATGTCAGCCTGATAGAAGTAAGTGTCTGGAGCCCTGTTCCTGTAGAACGGTTCCTGAAAACTGTGCAGGCCTCCTGAGAGTATCATGATTTGGGGGATATGGAGCAATCTTTTTTTGGGATGAGTGGTACCTTGTCGTTTGGAAGGCAGCCTTATTTAAGGTTAATTTCAAATATCTGTTGGCCAAAGTTTACTTGTCATTTTCTGCATAATTCCTGGGAATCATGCCTGCAATGTTTTGTATTTTGAAGTGCTGATGAAGAATGTGATTTGAAGCTAGGGCTGGTGGAAAATGTAAAACTAATGGCAATAGTAGCCATGGATTGTCTTTCTGTGTGTACTGAAGAATGATTAAAATGAGCTGCTATTTCTTGTTTGCATTTGGTGTGTGCTGCAAGAATATCAATATTCAGTTATTAGGATGTGAATACTCCATAGCAGGGCTTTTTTGTGTAAATACAGAAGGGACTGCTCATTGTAATTAACAGCTGGACACTCTGTGTGTTCTCTGTTACTTGAGCTATGGCACCCATAATATTACTGTAGGCAAACATCCACGTTTGTGTGGATGTGGCCAGCTTTCTTAACAGTGAAATCTACTGGTGCCAGGTTAGGAATTTCTGATTTAGCTAAAACTTTCCCCATTAAGGCTTTTCTTTTCATCTGACGATAGCTTTTCATAAGTGAGTTGTATTATTTTCTGTCATACCTCTAAATCTCTCAGACTTTCAGATAACACAGATTTAGAAATTATCTGAAAGTTCAGTTAAAATTCTAGATTTTAACGTAACAGGGAGTTCTCCGAGATGAATAACAGTGCATGCCTGACTCTTACTGAATCAACAGAATATGTCCAAATTACGTTTTAGTTATATATTTAAAAAAATAAAATCATCTTTCAAGACCAGATTAAATTAAAATCTGGGCATTTAGCAAAGGTTATGAAACAAAGCAGTTAAAATTGTCCCAATTTACAGTTGCCCCAGCCTCCCTCAGCAGTCCCTTTTGGTTGGCAGCTGGAAATTCATCCCTGTGCAAAGCTTCAGCACATTCCAGATGTTGAAGTGTTTTCATTTTGATCCTTGTTTTTTCTACACATTTTTGAGGAGGGATTGTTGCATGTGAAACTGAAAAAGGGGAATTCATGTCATCTTCTGGTTTAATCAAGTCTCTGGAAAACAAAATTCCAGGTCCTGGGACTTTCCTGTGGATTTAATAAAAACTTTGAACACTTTAAAATGCATTTGGACTGAGCAATTGAGTATTTAAATTGTAGATTTTTTAAATCCTTCATTTATAGTATCTTTATATTTAAGTGAGAAATAGCTTTTCAGATGGGAAAGAATGCGTTTGAGGTTCAACTGTTTTGCCTTGAGTCTAAAACACGCAGCAAAAACTTATTCAGTAATTCTGCACTTCTTAGATCCAACTCAGATCAACTTCTGACTTTACTTTTGAAATACATGTTCATTGAAATTTAAAGCAGTTAATGCTGTTACACTATGAAATAGTGGCATTGTATAATAGTCCTAAAGTACAGACTTTCATACTAGATTATGGTAATACAAGATAGGATTAAACATAAAGTGCTAGTCAGAAAATAAATGTTGATGTTCAGGATTTTAAAACTTTATGCATAGCAGTTCATTGTTATAATTACAAATTCTTCATTATCGGTTGGGCTGGTGCATCTCAAATTCTTGCACCTAAAGGAGAGGCGTTTCTGTTACTGGAATGGTTGAAAATTAATATTTTTAAAAACACAAACAAATTAAAAATGAACAAACTCAGATTGGAAATTAGAAGATTTCTGTAAGAGGAGTGAGATTTAGCATTATTTCCTAAGCAAAGTAGTGGGAGTAAAGAACCTAAATCACTTTAAAATTGAACCTGAAAAATTTATGGAGGGGGTAATATGGTGATTAGCATGATAGGACAGGGAATTTTTGGTTCCACAATCAGTTAGTGGGATTAATGGAATCAAGTATTTGCAATCTCCATGCTAGGATACAGAGAGAAATCTTTTGCAGAGTTGTAGATGCCTGGCAGTCCCGTTTGTTAGGGCTTTCCTGGTCTCCTACAGGAGCCAGGAAGGACATTTTTCTCTTCATAAATGCTATTGGCTTTGGTTTTTTCTCACTTCCTCTGTAGCATTGCATATTTGACAGTTTTCGATGGGGGTCCACTGGTTTTCCTGCTGTTGCTTAAGAAAACTCATGTTCTTGGCTAGAGGGTCTTGCTCTTTTGCTTGGTGCCAGGCCAGTCACCAAATTCATGGTCAGGAAAGAAGCTTTCCCTTAGGTTGGTGTGGAAAGGATTATGGAGTGTTTTGCCTTCCTCTATAGCATGAGGATTGTCCTCTTCCTCGGATCATCGTGAGCATATGTTAACAAATTACTTCTTTGTCGTGAAAGTTGCAGGGCATCAGCAGTGCCTTGTCTTCTGCTTTTACCTATAGCATGTTGTATGGGGGTCTTGGTGTTCTGCGTTTGATTTTGTGCCTTATGGTTGTGTTTGGAATGGATGATTTTAGGAATTTTTGGTTAAATGGTTGCCTCCAAATTAAGGGGACTAGACTGGATGACCAGGTTGCCCGTGTATTACACCAGTGTTCAAAGTGCCTGTTGTGCAAAATGCTGTACAAGTATGTTTGAAGATGGGAGCCAATTTCCAAAGAGCTCACAACCTAAAACCGTTAGAGGTTTTAATTTAGCAATTGATGATCCATTCATTCTGTACAAGAGGCCATAATCTAAGTGAACTCCTGTGCCGGAAATTGTTCTGTGTGACTTTAAAGTGTCAAGTCCATTATTCTGCCAACTAATAAGTTTCTATGTACTTTTCTCATTTGAGTGCTACCCTGAAGCCCATGGGCCAACATACATATGTATATGACTTGTATGTAGTATTTACAAAATTGGGATCTGAGTCATGCCTTGACATTTTTCCAACCTTTTTCTCCTGTTTGGTTTGTGTTTGTAAAATAATTCTAATTTATTTTATTGAAAGAGTG